TTAACATTTTTAGGTCATTATTTGTTACATCATTTTTGATTTCGATATTTAGCGTTCGCACACCGACACTCACTCGCTGCTACACCCACCCACCCTTCCATCTTCCGTTTGCAGCATTCAATTGCAATTTGTAACGTTTCGAGCAGCAGCTTTTATTTCATTGAGGAATAGAAAAGCCAAGCAGAAACAAAATTGCAACAAAACGTTTTCAAACTCCATTGTCTGGAGTGGAGCACGTTTTTATATCAAATTACCGAATGTCCCAGGCTTCCGAAAGTGCCGGCGAACACTTGTTCCAAATCGCAGCGTAAAGCAAAACTTGAATGATATCGCGCGCGCACACAGACAACAAGTGTACACGCCTGGATGAATGTGTTCAAGAAGCTAAGCTGTGGGCAATGATAATGGGCGTTGAAAGTTGAAGTTGTTTTTTTTTATTCGCCTACTTCTTCAGGCGTCAGCGGGCAAGTGTATTAAACTTTAGTTTACAAACAAGGCAGTCAGACGGGCATGTACGGACAAATGTTGCCACTTTTAGAGAAGTTGTAAGACTTAATTTAAAATGTGTTTCTAAAGAAAATAATCTATATAACTGAGTATTGAAATAACTGACTGACTGGGCATCGGCGCATAGACGAAACGGGTGAAAATAGGGTGAGATGAAAATAACTGCAACCAATTTCAGACTGCTGTCATTTCTAAGCCACTTATCCGACAGTTGTTAAAATTATTCCAATCACAGCTCATTATATTGTTTAAAAGCATTTTGGGGAGAATTTTCCAGTAAAAAAGTTAATCAAGATGGAATTCAAGCGTGGCTATGGTTAGAGTACTTCAGCATTTAAATATGAATAAAACGTTTGTGCCTCGTACCATTGTTCGTTGCCGTGATACTGGTAGCGTAGCCCGACTCCAAGGAAGTGGACGGAAAAAAGGCAAATCACCAGAAATGGTTCGAAAAGTAAAGAAGCGACTTGATCGAAACTCGCGTCGCAGTGGCCGGAAAATGGCTTTGGGCACGCAAACATTTTGGCAGCAGACCATGGACATTCTAACAGGACTCAGCACCATAGCACTCAGCACGCGCCACCAAAGAATGGTTACAAAATGAGACTCCTCGCTTCATTTGGCCACCAAAATCTCCGGATACCAATTCGTTGGACTATTGTGTCTGGAGTATTTTATACCAAAGTGTCGATCACCTCAAGCAAGCGCTTCGCCGGGAATGGGCCAAAATACCGCAGAACAACATTCGGACGGCGTGTGACGGTTTCATTGGCAGTTTTAAGGTCATAATTCGTCTCAAAGGTGACAAATTCAAACGAATCTAAACTTATTCTAAAATTTGATGCTACTTTCGAATTTTTTTGCTTTCATCAACAAAATTAAAAAAAAAATTATGGCGTTTGTCTTTGTTGCAGTGTTTTTCTCACCCTGTACAATTTTGAAATTTTGGGTGAGGGTCACTCTTGGTCCGAAGGGTTCAGATAAGACTGGGTTTTTGGAAATTCGTACGGTACGAAAAGTATTACAAGGTAAAATATGTTCGGGGAAGCACTAGAGATAAAACTCTTAGATTTGGAATGAGGGTCACCGATGAAGTGTATGATAGATTTTGGAAATTTCCATTATAAGTGTACGAAAAGTACTAAAATGTACTACATTTGGTACCATCTTGTATTATGTGAACGGTTGAGCTAAAAAAATGTAATTTCGAATGAGAATCAAGGTGGAGGAGTAGAGTGCTTGTGCATTCGAAAAGTACTAAACGGTACTAAATTTGGTACAATTTGAATTTTGAGGAACGGATGGAGCTGAAATCCTAAAATTTGTAATTTGTAACATTACTTGCACAGTGTAGGATTGTAATAATAGAGACTTGTCGAACTTTGTACCTTTGCACACGAAGAGTACTAAATGGTACTAAATTTGGTACAATTTCGACTTGGGAGAACCGATGGAGCTAGATTTCTGAAATTTAAAAATAAGATTACTATTGAGTTCTACAACTGAGAAATGTCGTACTGATGTGTAAAAGGTACTAAATTTGGTACAATTTAAATTTTGGAATAGCCAATGGAGTTGGAATCCTGAAATTTGGAAATAAGATTACTATTGCATTGTATGACTGAGAAATATGGGTAATTTTAGAAATTCATAATTATGCGTACTATATGGTACTAAATTTGGTACAATTTAAATATTTGGAGAACCGATAAAGTTGGAATCCCTCAATTTAGAAATAAGATTTCTGTTGGATTGTATAATGTAGGTAGCCATGTAAATTTGTACTTGTGTGTACCGAATGGAACTAAATTTACAATTTGAATTTGGGTGAACCTATAGAGCTGGAATCTTGAAATTTGGAATTGGGATTTCTGTGGAAGTGTAGGATTGAGGTATATAGGAAGGTTTGGAAGTTCGTACTAATGTTTTGTAAAAGGTACTAAATTTGGTACAATTTGGATTTGGTGGAACCGATAGCGCTTAAATTCTGAAATTGGGAAATGACATTTTTATGGGATTGTATGATGTAGATTGTCGTGGAAATTCGTACTCTTATACCATTCAATTAGTGGGTGAAACGGTAGGATGGGAATCCTGAAATTTGAAAAAAAGATTTATATTGGACTGTTGTTATGAAAATTTGCACTTAAATGTACTAAATAGGACTTAATTTTGGATTTGAGTGAACCAATAGAGCTGGCATCCTGCAAAATTAGAAATAATATTAATGTCGGAGTGTAGGATTGGGATATGTAGGTGGTTGTGGAAATTTATATTTATATGTACTAAAATGTACTGTATAAGTATTTGAGCGAACCAACAGCGGTGGAATTCTAAAATTTGGAATTGGGAATACTGTGTGAATATAGGATTTGGGTATGTACAAAGTTTTGGAAATTCGTACTTATGTGTACTAAATGGTACAAAATTTGGTACAAATTGGAATTTTGATGAACCGATGGAGCTGGAATTCTGAATTTTGTATCGGAGTCAATGATGGAGGGAAGGATAGATGCACCAAAGGGTTATTTGAAATAACCTTTATAATTACGAACAATTTTAAAATGGTACGAAACTTCTAAAATGGTACCATTTGGTATTATGTGAACGAATGGAGCTATAAACTTGAAATTCGGTAAGAGAATAAAGAATAAGTTCAATATATGAAGGCGTTTTTGGAAATGTACTCAGATTGCAAACTGTACTAAACAAACAACAACTAACAACTGTAAGTTTGCAAACTGGACTAAAATACTACTAAATTTGGAACAGTTTCGAAAAGTGGAATTTTTAAATTTTGTATTGGAGTCTCTTTACGTGGTAGAACTATGATAAAGATATGGTTTACGAAATGTGCACGAAAAGAACTAATGAGTATTATGTTTGGTACAATTTGGTATTGGGTGAACAGATAGTACTTGAAATCCGAAAATTGCTTTTAGGGTCGCTATTAATGTAGGGCCTCGACATATGGATGTGGTTTCGGAAATATGTATGCTTATTGTGCGAAAAGTACTGAATGGTACTATAGTTGGCATTGGGTGAAGGGATGGAGATAAAAATTATTATATTTTTCGTAACTGTTATTGAGATTTGGCGTTGTTGTGCAAATGTGTCCGATATTTGAACCAACAGTACTAAATGGTACTAAATTGGGTATTGGGTAAAGCGATAGAACTGAAATCCCGATATTTGTGTTCTGAGGTCTCTGCTGGTATCTGGGATTGAGATATAGAGTTTTTGGAAATGTATACTATTATTTGTACCAAAAGTATTAAATGGTACAAAGTTTCGTATTGGGTGAATGTGTAGAATTATAATTCTGAAATTTTATAATTATATAACTGTTGATAAATTGGCTGTGGTGTGGAAATGCATCCTATATTTTTACGAAAAGTACTAAAATTGGTATTGAGTGAAAGGATACGGCTGGATCCTCAAATTTGATATTGAGGTCTCTTTTGGGATCTGGGATTGAGATATGGAGGAGTTATGGAAATGTGTATTATATTTGTACCAAAAGTACTGAATTCGGTATTAGGTGAAGGGATAAGCCTGGATCATCTTTTAGTACCTGGAATTGAGATATGAATTTGATTCGAAAATATGTACTATAATAGTACGAAAAGTACTAAATAGTACTAAATTTGTTATTGGGTGAAGGGATAGAGCTAGAATCCCGAAATTGGATATTGATGTCTTCGCTGGGATCTGGGATTGAGATATGTAAGAGTTTTTGTAAAAAATGTATTACATATGTACCAAATGTACTAAACGGTACTAAATTTGGTATTGGGTGAATATGTAGAATTATGAAATTTTATATTTATGTTACTGCCGATAGATTGGCGGTGGTGTGAAATTGCGTCCTTTATTTGTACGAAAAGTACTAAATGACACTAAATTTGGTATTGGGTGAAGGGATAGGGCTGAAACCTCAAGATTGATTCTGAGGTCTCTGATAGTATTTGGAATTGAAATATGAATTTGATTTTGGAAATGTGCACTATAATTGTACCAAAAGTACTAAATGGCACTAAATTTGATATTGGCTAAAGGGATAGGTCTGGACCTCAAAATTAATATTGAAATCTCTATATGGTACTAAAGGGATTGAGCTTAAATCATCAGATTTTGTATTACGATAACTGTTGGTGTCTAGAAATGAGACATGGAACTGTTTTGCAAATGAGTACTAAAATTACACGAAATGTATAGATCTGGACTCCCGAAATTTTGATTTTGAGATCTCTTTTGGTATCTGGTGATGGTTTTGTAAATACATACTGTAATTATTCGAAAAGTTGTAAATGTTCTACTTTTACATTTAGATTGCTTCAGACATTGATATTGATTGAAAAAAAATTTGATGAAGGTCCCACCATAAGATACTCCTTGCATACACTTTATAATGTCAACGTGATTATTGGAAAGATTTTTTCCAAAATCAATCCTCATAAGTTGTCACTTACCACAAAATAAATCTGGCAACTCTGTGTACCTCAAATTTATACATATTTGTAATAAGTGTAATAAATTACCATTCATGGATGGAAATCTTATAGCATTCGTATTGGATTACACCAGCCACACAGGTGAGAGGGCGCTGGCCGTGACTGGCGGTGGTCAATGTCGTTGGTTATACGATCTGTTTTGTTTCCAAAGAGGAAAAACGAAAGAAAAACAAACGGAAAACCAAAAAAAACAAAAATGCCTGGCGTCTAGTATTTCCTCATAACAATGAATAACCAAAAAAATTAAAGGGAACTTTCATTTTAAGGTGATATAATATTAAGCGATTGCACAATATGCCATAACGATAATGACCGACTTGGCTGGCTGCCTGCCTGGCTGCCTGCCTGGCTGCCTGCCTGGCTGACTGACTGAACGGCTGAATAGATAAGTGAGTGGCGATGTTTTTTTGAGGAACAATGCAAACCTTTCCTTTGGCTATGGTTAAACAGATCAGAGTTACTGCAAAAAAAAAAAAAAAAAAAAAATACTTACAACAATTTGTAATCCCGCGATTTGGGCTTCTTTCACTTTTTGTCTACTTCCAGGCGAGTGTGGCATGATGTAGTGGCGCCCTGAAACCAAGAGGAACAAAATGCATTTTCAAATAAAAGCCAAGGCCACTTGGAAAAATTGTTACAGTATTAAGTTAAACGACAGAGCGTGTACACACAACAAACGACTGGCTAAAGGCAAATAGCGGATTACAAACAGAGAAATATATATTTGCAAAAATAAATGATGGCCAGAACTAAGGCAAGCGCGACCTGCAAAAAATTAAAAAATAAATAATAATTTCCTCTTTTTTACAGAACATTTTCTTCATAACCCTTGTAACTTTGTTGGTCAGCCATGCCACATGTTCCCACATCGACACAGAGGATTTATCTCTCTCGGATCCCCACCAATCCTTGTCCACCGGTGGGGGTGGTCATCACCATCAACACTATCAACCGGCCGAATCATATTCCGAAGTCAATAAACCCGTACCCGTACAAGTTATTGAAAAGATTCCATTGAATATACCCCATCCGGTGCCGGTTAAGGTACCCAATGTTATTCGAATACAAATACCCGAGCCATATGCCGTTCACATTCCTGTGCAGCAAGAAATTCAAGTGCCAACGTATCGCATTGTACCCGAGATCACAGAGAAACGTATCCCCTACACTGTGGAGAAACCATATCCTGTTGAAGTCGAGAAACCGTATCCAGTTGAGGTTATTAAGCAAATAAAAATTGCAGTGCCTAAACCATATCCTGTCCCCTACACAATCTACAAACATATTGTCCAAAAAGAACATGGTTGGTAAAAAATATCGGTTTAATTTTACTCTTTAGATGTAAGCGTTTTCGGTTAAGTTTCACAATTAAAATAATAAGCTGTATGAAAATGTGTATAATTTTATTGATAGGATACGATTCAAAGCGAAAGGGAGGTAAGCGGATAATTGGGATAATTCCATATTATGATTAGATAATAACTTAAATCCTTCGAAAACTACTCTAAAAGAGAACTACCCGGAAAAGGAAAAAATAAATTCCAAGCAGCGAAGGTTTTCTTTCTGAGCTTTTAAGAGAATGACATCCCCAGATAAATGGTTTTCTATACTGGACTTATTACCCCACCCATGCCAGAACCTCCCTCACAGAATCAAAATGTTGAATAATCATAACAGGTATAAAATGTGAAAAGAGAGTCTTCAAGTTTTGCAAATCCCAAGGCCAACTGAAAGTCAGGTATGAGTATTCCTTCCCAAAACGTGTCAAAAATTTAAATAATAATATGCGAACTAAGTCAATTATTTTCTGCAAACTTCACATATCCAATCTTTGTAACGACCATAGGTATATTGTGAAGATGGGCTATATCAGTCCACTCCTTCTGGTAGCTCTAGACAGAGGTAAAATCTTGAATAATTTTAACTCTCATAATATGCATAATAGCTCACTCACTGACTTTCTTATAACTTCGAATATGTTAAACTTCTACCAACATTAGAACTAGTCTACTCCTTCCGATAGCTTCCCCACAAAGGGTCAAAAATGTTAAATACTTATAATCCGTGTAACAGGCTCAACACGCATGAGATTTTTGAAATTTTTTGTATCCTACACCACATAGTGGTAAGGATATTATGTCTTTGTGCATTTGTTTGTAACAGGGAGAAGGAAGCGAGATAGACCCATAGTTTTGAGGATCTTCATAGAATCATTTTTTGAGTCGATTTATGCATGCCAGTCCGTCCGTCCATGTATTCTTGTGAATAAAATGCAGATCGTATTTATTATCCGATTGAGATGATTTTTGCAAACAATGTTTGTTTGGCCCAAGGACGAACCCTAATCGGATTAGACTTAGATATAGTTCCCATATATCTTCAACCGATTTCGGGTAAATTGCGCACCTAATGGATAATATTAGTCCAAATGACCTGTATTTTAGTACATCCCACCGAATTCAGTATAGAACAAGTAAATCAAATTTGGAGAAAATCGGTTAAAATATAGCTATAGCTCCCATATATATGTTTCATCTGATTTGGGGTTTTATGCACTCCAGAAGGATGAGATTTGGTACCGGATATCAGATAATGCTCAAAAATACCTCTGTCAAATTTGATCGAGATCGGTTCAGATTAGGATATAGCTCTCATACATATATTTTTTCCGATATCAGGTTTATTGTGCACCAAATGGCTAATATCAGTTCAAATGGACCGAATTTTAGCAATTACTACTAAATTCATCCTATAAACCTGTATTTCAAATTTAGTGTACTCGATTCAGATATACATATAGCTCCCACATATATGTTTTATCCGATTTGGGGTATAAAGTCCCTCACAACCGTAATATGCGTTCCACAACAATGATCTTTGGTACCAAATATCAAATACAGCCCAGAAATACCTTCTTCAAATATGATTGGTTAATCAGATTTGGATATAGCTTCGAAATCGGTTGAAGACATAACCGATTTCGGGCCACTTAAGCAGCAAATAGCCAATATAAGTCCAAATGACCTGGATTTCGGCCCATCCGACCGAATTCAGACTAGGAGCAAGTTCATTAATATTTTGAGAAAATCGGTTCAGATATAGCTATAGTTTCCAATATATATTTTAAGCGATTTGGGCTTAAAGTCCCTCACAAGCGTAATATGCGTTCCACAACAATGATCTTTGGTAATAAATATTAAATACAGACCCGAAATAAGTGTATTAAATTTTGTCAAGATCGGTTCAGATTTGGATATAGCTCTCATATCGCGTTAATTGTGCACCAAATGGCCGTTATCACTTCAAATGAACTGAATTTTGGCATATCCGAACGAATTCAGACTAGATGTAGGTACATAAAAATAATAAATTCGGAAAAAACCTGTTCAGTTATAGCTATAGCTCTCATATATATGTTTCATCCGATTTGGTGCTTAAGTCCCTCACATTCGTAATATGCATTCGACAACAATGATATTTGGTACTATATATCCTGTAAACCTCGGAAATGTTTTGGCCAAATTTAAACGAGAATGGCAAAGATTTGGATATATCTCCCATATTTATCCTTAATCCGATTTCAGGTTTATTGTGCAAGTATTGGCTAATATCAGCCCAAATGGAGTGAATTTTGGGACGTACGTTTCCATTTTGAGCCATTCGGCTCCGATATATATTTTTTTAAATAATACTCCTCCAAGTGATATCATGCACTCTATAGCAAACTATAACTGTTCTAAAACTAAATGTTGATAAATGGTATGATCTACTTGAAATAAATTTCATTTTGTACGGGAGCTCTACTAAATATGCGTAGTGGTGTAGGGTATCATATAGTCGGCCCCCGGCAATTCTCAATAAATTTGACAAAGGCTATTGAACTACTACCAAATAATATTGCTGTATAGTGCGTGATATGACTTTGATAAGGATTATATTGAAAACTATTTATTGGAGCAATAGATATACCGGATCAACTTTCACAAAATGGAAAAGTTCGGTTGAATATGAGAAAAATCTATCCATTTTGGGCAGATATTACATATATGGTGAACAATAACCGTCAAATCGGATGAAAATGTATATCGAAGCTATATAAAAATCTGAACCGATCTCGATAAAATTTGGCAGAGGTATTTTCGAACAGTATCTGATGTCCCGTATCAAATATCATAACACCAAATCGGATGAAACATATATATGGGAGCTATAGCTATATATGAACCGAATTTTCTCCAAGTTTGAAGTACTTCTTTCTAGGGTGAGTACATTTGGGCTGATATTAGCTATTTGGTGCACAATGAACATGATATCGGATAAATATATATGGGTGCTATAACCAAATCTGGTCCGATCTCGATGAAATTTGACAAAGGTATTTCTGGACTATATATGATATCTGCTACCAAATATTGTAAGTACACCACATTTTCTCCAAATGTTATGTATTTCCTTGTAGACTGAATTCGACCAGATGTGCAAAAATCGATTGTAGATATATATGGGAGCTATATCTAAATTTGAAGAGATTTTCGTCAATTATAATTTGAGACAAACAAATATTGTTTGGAGAATTTCATCGCAATTGTATAATAAAGGCGACTGCTGTTAAAATTATTCCAGTGACAGCTCACTATATTGTTAACAAGCGTACAAAAGTATTTTGATGAGAATTTTCCAGAAAAAAAGTTATTCGTGATTAAATTCAAGCGTGATAGTCTGAGTTCTCTATATTTGGTTGGAAAACCACTCCAGCATTTAAATGTGAATAAATCTTCTGTGTCTTGTACCATCGCTCGTTACCGTGATATTGGTGTGGGCCGCCATAATAACTGATGGTCGTTCTTAGCTCGTATTGATCGACCGTAGCATCAGAATAAATGCCGAATATAATCGCGAAAATATTCTGGAGGGTGCATTCAAGCCTTGGGCACGCAAGCATTTTGGCCGCAGACCTTGGACATTCCAACAGGACTCAGCACCATCGCACTCAGCACGCGCCACCCAAGAATCTTTACAAATTGACGTTCCTCGCTTCATTTCCAGCGCACAATGGCCACCAAAATCTGCGGATACCAATCCGTTGGACTATTTTGTCTAGAGTATTTTGGAAGGCAAGGTTGGCACTAAAAAAATACAAAAGTGTCGATCACCTCAAGCAAGCGCTTCGCCGGGAATGGGAGCAACAGAGCAACATTTGGGCAGCGTGTGACGGTTTCATTGGCCGTTTGAAGGCCATAATTCGTGCCAAAGATGACCAATTCGAACATATCTAAATTTGTTCTAAAATTTGATGCTATTTCCGACATTTTTTTCTTTCATTCAATAAAATTTAAAATAAAGTGTCAAAATTATGGCGTTTGAAAATAGAATAATAATAATCAATAATGTGATTAATATGCAAATATTTTAAACTATGACATTTTAAAACTCAATTGTCATTCAACAATTTCAAATTATCAAAAGCGGAATTGACAAACTGAAACAATTTGCATTGTTGCAAATTGCTGTGGACTCCATGCTGCAGAAAAAATGAGACACAAAAAGTACTACTGCCTTTTTAAAATATTCATGTGATATTCACGATCTTGCTCCAAATACAACAATGATTGTAACAATTTTCAAAGAATAAACACCACATGTGATCATGAATGCATATATGGATGTTTTCGATTTTTTTGTGGACAAATACTAAGACAACCTGTTGAACTCGAACTCCAGATCTATGCGGGAGTAAATTTTTACATGAACCACCAACCACCGACACCAGTGATACTGGTGGCTGTAGCCCGGCACCAAGAGAATCAAGACTTCGGAAAACATAACAATTACTTTAAAATGACAATAAAACAGTCACGTATTTCAACAAAAGCCAGCCAGCCAGTCAGCCAGCGAACAAACAGAAGTAACATTTTGCAGCTAATGTTACACAGGCGGACAACAAGAACAAATAAAACAACAAAAGAAAATAAACTTCCAAATTGCTTGCTGACTACATACATACACACACACACTCACATAGAACCCACAACCAACATTGGAACAACGGAAAACACTTGCAACTGCCGAATAATAAAGTTGCAACAACAAAATTGTAATTCAAGTAAGCAGCGAACAATTTTACAAACAGCAGCAGCAACAACAACACAAAAGCTGAGATTTTTTTCCATTTTCACATTGTGGGCAAATTGCGCAACAAACAACCCATTTATGATTGTTGCTTGTTCTGATTGTTGTTTCTGCCGATGTTGTTGCTGCTCCCAAATTCTGTTTAGATTTTTTTCTGCGTCCATTTGTATGGCAATTTTAAAGGTTTTCCGATAGAAAAGTTTGTGTTGGTGTTGCATTTGCCCAAAAAAGCTTTGATAGTTTAAACATTTGTTTCC